AGGGTTCAAGGACTACCTACATGGACCAATGGATGCAGGAACAAAGCTTGAGGTCAAATTCAGGACCGGGGACAGGCCGTCGAGAACGTCGACGAAGACATAGGACGGTAGACGAGGGAGACGACGAGTTCAAATGTGATTGCGGCTTCGAATGCGAAGACCGTGTTCATGTAGTCGCGGAATGTCCGTTGTACAAGAAGGAGAGGGAAGTGTACGTGACTGAGCTGGGAAAAATAGATGGGACGTACAGGGAGGTGTTTGAGGTTNAGACCGTGTTCATGTAGTAGCGGAATGTCCGTTGTACAAGAAGGAGAGGGGTGTGTACGTGACTGAGCTGGGAAAAATAGATGGGACGTACAGGGAGGTGTTTGAGGTTTGGAATTGAGAGGAAAGGACGGTAGCTGTAGTGGGGCATAGGAGGTGGGTTGAAAAGGCGGGAAGGGATATCGTTAGGATAGACAGACTAGGGAAGACATTTTTGAGCCACCTTTGGCAAAGTAGAAAGGGACGATTGGCCATCGGTGATCGGTCCTGTGGGAACAATGCTCCATCCTCTCGAGGACGCGTGGTCAATGGTCTAGCCGCTAAGGCATGCAAAACAAAAGAGTACGCCCCTCCCCCCCCTTTCCACACCTTCTCGGGGTCGTCGAACTGCACGTACAAGTTGCCGGAGACTTCCACGCTCACGTTATCCTTGGTGATGGCCGCCTGGGGAGATATGCTTATATTCCTCTCGCGCATGTCAACCTGTTTCGTGTTCATCATTACATCGAAAGTGAAGCACGTATAAACGTGGAATTCTCGAGACTTACCTCTTTCTATGGCTTGAAGCGCATCGAAACACGGAATATATCGTTTTTTGCTTTTCGGTGAAGTGGAGCATGTCAAAGCGCAGGATTCTCATTCTTTTCTCGTTCTGTACAGCGAAGCGATAACACGGGATTTTCGATTCCGTCGTATTTGTCCTTTGAAGTAGAGTCGCACATCAAAACACGAACTCTTCTTTTTCGTTGACATAGGTGAAATGGAGCACACCAAGACATGAAATTACGCCGCCAAAAAAGAAGCCGGCACCACATAAAGGCAACGGTTTTCGGGGTGCGTGCCGCCGAAAGCCTACGCTACAACCACAGGTCCCGACCTCTCGATCGTGGAACAGCCCCGGACCTAGTTACATTTGTCCTAGTTACACACAGCAAGAGGACGAGACCAAGAGCTAGGCCGGTCTACTGGTCGATGCGTCTAAACGAAATTTGAAACGTCAAGGGACCATCGCCGTCGTGCTGTCTACTGCTGCTCGCGGAACAAAGAAGCTCTTGTGACCTCGTCGGTGTTCACCATCGGTTCTCTCGTCTATACTGCCGTAAACCGCGATATACCACGCACGTTTCAAAGGTCACTTTAGCAGCATGATTTATTCTCCCGGCGACGCGACTACAAGAATACCAGCTCCCGTCATCGAAACTCACCCGGTAGGCTATTTTGTCGATCACGGGGATGGCGATGAACCACCCTGGTCTCTCGATCGACGACAGCTTGCCTAGCCGCTCCACCACCATGCGGGACCCCTGAAACACGCGGCACAGAAAAACAAGTTATCTATCACCCCGTGTTCTTGATTTCTCTCGCCAAAGCATGGTGGTTTTGCGTTCGTCGGTCAGCTCGCTAGGCAGCGCGGCCACCGTTTGAAAGCGTTACAGCAGCACACACGGGGCCTCGTGGTGATCCATAGGGCGTGCTGACGTCATTATTGTCCCGGGATCACCGGCGTCCTTCCAATCATATTCTCCGGTGGTAGGAGAGACGTTCACTCAGGGTACGCACACACTCACTCACAAAAAACGCGGTCGATGCAAATCGTGAACACACACACTACGTGCTGGGTGGTTCTGTCCAGTCTCGTCTGCGCACCCCCCCCCCCCCCCCCCNGGGGGGGGGGGGGGGGGTAGCGCAGTCGCTTCCAACTAGACAAACGCGCGTGCCCGCATATATACAATCGCACTATTCTCTCTTGGTCGGCCGGCGGCCGGCGAAAACGACACGCGGGAGCCACAGACATGTCCGACGAAAAGGGACGCCGGCAAACACCAAATCGACAGGACGTGGACAAAGAAGAGACCAAAACCAAAAGCATGCAGCAAATCGCTTCCTCACACGCGTTTTGTGTACCCCCTTTATTGGGTTGTTGGCTGTTGGCCTGTGTCCACGGACGCCACCCGCGTCAGTTCTTCGTGTGAAGACAACAACGATAACAACAACAACAAGCTTGCGTGTGCGCGCAACATCTTGGCGCTCAGGACGAAAGCATAGCCCAGCAACGGGGAAAAAAAAATCCTCTCGTGTTAACAAAAACCATCCGAGGTTCCGCCAACTCTCATAATCAGCCGAGGGGGAGGTCAGCAACAAAAACCATCGTTGTACAGTGAACGAAAATGCACCGCTGAAAAATTAACGTAGAATAGGTAGGTCAAGGGCGCCACCGGCTACAACAGGGTCCTACAGAGGGGATTGACGCACCTGAGGGCACACGTTGACGAACGAGTTGGGATGGGAAACTGGCCAGGGGTCGTCCACATCCCCCCCTCCTCCCAACGACTGCCCCACGCCGAAACGGTACGATAGCGCTCGGCTCTGCTGCTGTCGTGGGCGGTTGTGCCATGGCTGGCGTTGTTGTTGCCTCGAAGATCCCGTACCTGTGCGGTGGGGTACACAGCGCGCGGCACGAGCGAACCACAGCAAAGTGTGGAGTCAGCGAGCGGGCACAAGCGTTCGGTGACCCTCTCGACTTGACTGCCACAGGTTGGTTGGGGGGGGCGTTTGCCACTACTTGTGAGGGTAAACACAACAGAGTGAATCAAGTACATGCGAGTGGACGCGAGCCGTTTCCGTGACCTTGGCTGGAGTTGGCTGTCTTAGGTGGGGCTGTTGCCACGTAATACTGCGGTGGGGCACACAGGTCACGGCAAAACATGAACCACAGCAGGGTGGATGAAGTAGACACATGCGAGCGACTACTAGCGGTAGTGCGCACAATAGAGGGGAAAGAGCAACAAAGCAGTAGCGGACACAAGCCGTTTCCGTGGCCTTTGCTGAAGTTGGCCGCCTTAGGTGGGGCAGTTCCCACCGCCACTGCTATTACGCTGTGGTGTTCACCAAACGAAACCCGCGCCCGCACAAGGTACGGTGTTCACGCCACGCCCACGAATGGCGCTTTCCCCGATGCAAAACGCACACAGCTACGTAATAAATGACCGTGACTTGGAAGGAGGGGGAGTGAGCAGTGGTGGCCGGGTGTTTGAATGCGCCGGGCGCGCGCGGGGGGGGGGG